CTCTAGCAGCTTCCTTATCAGCCTTGTCTGCATTAACCTTGTGGGCCCACTTGAGCATTTCCTTCAACTCCTTCTCAGTGGCAGTTCCCTCTCCTTCGGAGTCAACCAATGCCTTCATTTGTTCCTGGATTGCCAAAATCAGCAAGTCCTTGAGTTCCTCGGATCCCTTGGATAGAAAGTTGGCAAAACTCGGCTTGCTCTTCATGTCGCGAAGGTCCTTAATCTTTCCCACGTCATCGCCTTCGACACAAACATAGACTCCAGGCATGCCGTCCAAAGCATCATAAGTTGGAGGTGGATTACTCGGTAGGTTAGTCGGCCACTTGATAGAATACCACCAACGACATAGTAACTTTTGTATCAATTGTCCCTTTGCGCATTCGGAACCAAACATGGCAGCCGAGATACTTCGATAATCTTCAGCAGAGGCCGCCTTTTTCGTTGCTTCAGCGACGGGTCTAGAGGTTACTTTTTTAGAGGCAGGAGCTGTTTCTGTTTTCGTTTTCTTTTGTGCCGGAGCTTTCTTGGCTTCAGATGTAGTGTTCGCCTTTTTCTTTGGTGACTTGAGCTGTGCGAGTGGGATGTCGTCGAAATCATCGTCCTCATCATCATCGCTATCGTCGTCTTCCGTGTAACTCTTGGATTTAGTGGACGCTCTGCGTTTCCGACTGTTCGCGATTTGTTCATCATTGTCGTCGTCTTCCTGCTCGTCCTCGTCGTCCTTTGTCCCAAACTCAAACTCTGCTTCGTCGCTCGACATGATACAGATCTGATATTCGCCTGAATCTTTATAACTTCAAAGGTTTAGGACTACGTATGTGTAGGAGGATGTCCTGTTGAAATGTGGACTGGTTGGGATGGCAAATGGCAATGCCGCACTTCGTTGCAAGAATGGCGCGTTGGACTCGTACTCAGCCTACGGTTATATATATGGTAACTCGGAGTACTGTAGTACTGGTACTGAGTGTATTGGACATAGGACATAGCGACATAGGACATACAGCCATCATAGGACTATCATAGGACGACCTGCTACCGGTGGTAGTAGGCACCTATAGCTCGTTACTACCATTCACTACTGTACCCACTACGTTGTACCTGTAGTACCCACTATTTGGATGTGAATTCTGCTTTTTCCTCGTTTTTGAATGACAATTCTGTCTTTTGAAAACTATTTTAAACCGTTACGGTACTCCCATCATTACAGTACTACAGTAGTAGCAGTACCTGTCTCCGAGTACTGTACTTGTTATGGTGCCGCAGCACCCTCCTGATAACAGACAGTACTCGGTACTGACAGTACCGGTACTGAAATTTGAAAGCGACTGTCGAAGCCAGAAGATGTTTGGCAGGGCGATTCTAGATTCCATGTCTGCCTCGTTGTGTTGTTCGTTGTTGGACGTGCCATGTGAATATCCAAGATCAGAATCACTGTGCCATACGACAAATGATGTGGACCATGCTATCAGCAGCCCATCAACTCCGCCGCCCTCAGTTGCTCAAGGCAGCAGTGCGCTGCATGCCTTCCTCTGCAAATGTTAATTCTCCTATTGTACTTTATCAACGAGCCAAAAACCGTGTTATGATTCTTCGAACAACCTTTTTCATGAGTAGCTTCAATGCCGTCTATTGGATCTGGTATAACGTAGACTTTATCCCAGCCATCAATAAATCGGAGGTTGAAGCATTTCATGTCGATCCTGTCTTCGGACTTTTGGGGCTTGGCTTCAGTGCTGTGGTGCAAGCCGCAACGCTGACGTATCCTCGGCACCTTCTGTCCAAATTAGAATACAACGAAACGACGCAAGATTTGACGGTCTACATGCACGATATTCCAACAATCTTCCAATCAACAGTTGGGCACACATATCCTTTGGGAAGTATCACGCTTGACATCGCATCAAAGAGTGCCAAGGAATTGGTGGAGGCACAAGAGTACTTTAGGGGATCGGTGCCCTTGAATGTTAAGGGAAGTTCCCTGCCCTTCATTTTGGATTTGCAAGAAGGCGACAAGGTCGACCATGAACGGGTGATGCCAATTATCATGACGCCGGAGCAGTGGTCCATTTACCGAATCGCACTAGTATCAGTTCTCGGGACAAGAAGTCCCAGCACAACACAAAGAAACGAAACCACAGACGATGAACGAGGCTAGAAAGTGTCTAAAGCTAGTTCTGGGTTTTTGCTACATGATCCAGATCCTTAGGATTTCCGGTTCTTACTTGCATAACTGGCACACTGCAGGGCAGTTGGCGGCCATCCAAGCGGGATTGTTCCGGCATTCGCCATCTAGTGCCAAGGTAGCGCAATTTGGATCATGGCTGACACAGGATAAAAACATGCCGGCCTTGACAGATGACCTGTCATAAATATATTGCTGCGTCTTGATCAATAAATTCACGGTGTCTTGCAATTTCTCAGGAGAGGGACAGAGTTGCGTCACCCCATGGTGGAGACTGAGATGATTGGCGACGATGAGAGTTCGATCTCGAATCTATCCGGGGTAGCCATATGGACACTTACCTGACACAAGTTTCGCACGACTTACGACAATTGAACAACATATAGGCTGCATTTTTCTTGCATTCTCCTCTTTGCGCCCACTTCGCGCAACTCTCATGATTGTCGCGACAAAGAATGATGTCTGTAGAGGCCACACAGTGGAAGGCATTGTTCTCGCCATTGATCGGAAGGCATTCACCTGTCGCTTCTATCTTGGCACCGGTGGAGCATATCGGAGATAGAGAAAACAGAAGGAGATGTACAAGGAGCGAATGTACAGAGGTCCTCGTCGTCATCCTTCTCGACGATAGTGCTCGTCGTGAAGTGGAAAAGCGGAATACGCTATTCGCCTTGGGAATGAACTCGACAGAAAGGTCCGGCAACTGACGGTTTCACACTTCATATAAGATAGCTAAATGAATCGTAAACGGAACACCTATTGTCCCTGTCATCACGAATATGCTACTGGTACGTCGTACGCAGACTTCCATAGAGGTGTACTACTACGAGGGATATGTGAAGTTGAAAGTACACAGTACTGGAGTACTTCACTGCAACGCACGAACAATATTGTTGATTTCGGCCCTTCGGAGCGTTTGTAGACCAGTAAATAAATCCACATACTGTATGTCATAGTATGCAACATGCAACACCACCCCCATCTTTTCTGACCTGCCGTCACCATGGAGGACGACCACCCCATCGTACCAATCACCACATCCCTTCAAGACTATCAAGTACCAATTAACCAAGATGTACGTCAACTGTTGACGGATCAACTTCTTGTTTCACACAAGAATGACGCCAACGCTGCACAACAGCACATGGACCGCATATTGAATGCACTCAAATCACCACCCACACCGTCTCTGTTACGCATCGATTATTGTTCCTCGGTATCGCCGTCAACATCACGCGACCAAGTGATAGAGAATTTGAAACTTCACTTTCAGGAACACTGGTCGGATGCGACGGTCACTCTGAAACCCCATCCTGTTTTTTCAGATGTGATTGAAATTCATGTTGACCATGTTGGGACGGACGACGATCACGCAACGACAACCACGCTCCTATCACATCACTCCAAACCACCAGTGGACTCGGCTCCAATTCTGTTCCATAATTGGCCGAGACGAAAAGTCCTCGGCTGGCCCATGACGCATCGCATCGTGTTATGCGATCGACTATGCGCAGAGGCAGTCTTGCGAGGATCCCACATTTTCGTCAAGGGAATTCTCTGTGTGGATGCCGGTACGGAGCGCGGAGAAAATGTTGCCGTCTACGGGTACGTGGGAAGCGATGCGACGAAGCCGACGCAAGGAAGTACTTTGGATCACTGCGACGTCGCGGTGCGGGGAACGTGTCTCTTTTTAGGAATGGGCAAGACCCACGGTGATCGCATGCAATTGGTTTCCAAGGCCAATGGGATTGGGGTGAGCATGACCTTGCTCAGAGCGGGACCGATTCTTCCACCATTGCATAATATTGGAAATCTGGGCAGAATTCAAAACTTACCGTCCATTTTTGTGGGTCATGCTCTCGATCCTCAGCCTGGGGACATCATTCTAGACATGTGCTGTGCACCTGGTGGAAAGACGACGCATTTGGCCAGTTTGGTTCGGGGCAAGGCGACAATAGTGGCTTGTGATAAGAGTCGGAGCAAAATCTTAAGCGTCCGGGACTTGATCGCTGCCACCGGGGCCATGGATTGCATTACACTTCTAGCGCTCGACGCCACGAAGTGTGTTGCCGATGGTGAAGACACGAAGTCAACGGTACTGGAGGTAAGTACGATGGAACTCATCAACCATGTTGCAAATTCTGTGTATGGACATGTGTCACGTGGTTCGTCACTCATTCCTTTGCGGCATGGCAGATTCTAGGTCGTGCACCTAGGAAGGACGACGGCTTGTTGGATGTTTTGGGCTTTCCTCCTGAGTCCTTCGATCGGATTCTCCTTGACCCTCCATGTAGTGCACTTGGTCTTCGTCCAAAACTTGGAATTCGCATCAAGGCAAAGGAGCTCGTGAAGACTGCAGAGTATCAGCGCCACTTTCTGCGTCAATCCTTCAAATTATTGAAGCCGGGGGGTATCCTAACTTACAGCACGTGCACCATCAATGCGCTGGAGAATGAGCAAAATGTGGCTTTCATGTTGCAAGAATATTCAAGTTTCATGACTTTAGTACCATTGTCAACAGAAGGTCCTGGTCAAGCAGGACTTGCTGGTCACGGTTTGAACGACGAACAGAGGAAGTGTGTGAAACGGTTTGATCCTTCCGATGAGCAGGACAATTGCATGGGATTTTTCGTTGCCAAGTTTCAGAAGAAGATGATATAGTGCACCTGTTAGACCATGAAAGGCGAAGGGGGCCAGCTAGCGGTAAGGACCAAGGGTCTTCAAGGTCGAGAGTTTTAACGGTGTTGATGTAATGATCTGTTCTAAATACTGCAGGATATATATCTCTTGATATCACATTTTAGATGTATGTTTGTCTGTAGACGTGCCCGAGTGGTCTAAGGGGCAAGATTTAGGCTCTTGTATTAATTTGCGTGGGTTCAAATCCCACCGTCTACAGTTTTTGTTACCCCGTACAATTGTTCAATGTTTTCCTCTTTTTCGTCCTCCGATTTCATCAGAACCAACCAACAACCACCTGTAATATTATGAAAACCTGTACTGAGTACTACTACTACACTAACTACCGGTACTGTTCTTATACTTCTACTTCCTCCCGTGGCCGCATGTAGTACGGTACAAATGATACACACGTATTGTGTCTACTTGGGAAGGTGGCAAAAGTTCGGGATGCGCAATGCGCAAACCGCCGTGTACTGGGTTAGTGAGAGTGTCAAATATGCAATGCTGCTGACTGAAGTGAACAGTTTTCTTGATATCGATTCCTTGATCCTTGGCAGTCAGAACAGTCTCACCTGACATTCATAAGCGTTTGCCCCTGTCCCTGCCTCTCCCACTGTATAGCGGTTTGTTTGCTCGCCCGCTCTCCTTAGCTCGTAACTGGACCAACGAATGGCGAGTAGTTCACCTCGGACGGGGCTGGAAAAGGCCGAACGTGGCGAGGTGAAGTTAACGGTTAAGCCCCATGTCTTTGGAGGAGCCGTACTGTCGCCCAAGCATGCCCGTGAGTTAACCCCCAGCCTCAGCCTGGCGATCGCCTCAGCTTTAAGTAGTGACTTTTCACGCAACACAATCGTTCCGTACACTGTGTGGATTACAGAAGCGTGGAGAGTTCTGGGCTGGGCCGAGCCGAGTGCTGCCTTGTTTTGGGAAATGGCAACCATGTATCACACGCTGTATCTCGCCGTTCGTGTTGAATCGGATGACCGCATTCCACCCATTCTAAGCTGTGGTAGTCACTCCAGTATGGGAAGTGCTGCTCCGGAGCAGAAACAACAACGTCAAAAATATTCGACAACTGCAAAGGAGTTACCGGTGTGGTTGATTGGGATCTTTCTCTTGTTGCATTGCGAAGAGTCAACGTATCGAATCAACTCCAAGTCGGACGCAGAACCCCCGTCTGCAAATTCGACCTCCTGGCAGCAACACAAGCAACAATCTACAAGGTATGTACGACGCAATGGTTCCGTATTGAAGCCTTTGTCAAAAATACTGCGGTATTCATCGATTCCCGACGACACTGACACACTTTTTTCATCTAACCACAACACAGACTCCGCTCTCATGCAGGGCAACAAGATCACTACACATGTTATATTCTTCGTCATTTAAGAAAAATTCTGCTCCTCCTTGCAGTACCGCACAACGACGACGCCGTACGGGCCTGCATTCACTTGGCCGCCCTGCCCCCGACAACGACATCGGTGGTGTCGGACGTAAGTCTTGTAGAAAAATGGCATGCAGAGGAACACGGAAGCGTCGGTTTGGGAATTCGTTTGACCATGGACGACTTGGAAAAGTTGCATTTCGTCCTACAACTGCCCGCTGGAGGAGGCATTGATGATCCTCCACTTGATATTGGGAAGTTTTTTTGGAGAATACTTTATCGAAACACTCCCATACCCGGAAGTGCATCGATTCCTCTGGGAGAAGTGGAACGCGCTCTTCGTCAGCAACTAACAGAGGGCTATCAAAAACACTTGCGACCTGATTTGACCATGGCAAAACTGTCGCTCAACGACAATGAAAAAGTTCCAGCTCGACGCCAACCGGAGGTGTACTACAAGGAAATTTCCTACAATGGACTGCGCGGCACTACAGTTTTATTGAAGCCTGAGCCACCTGAGACGGATAGACTGCATGATTTGGTTATAACGGATTGCAACGACTGTCATTTTTACCTTCTTCAACCCTTCGAGCATGTCACCATCTCCTTCACGACCGGATGCACTATCGTCGTTGGAGCTGTGGCGGGACTTCTATACGTTTTGGATTGCGAAAAGACTCAATTGACATCGGCAGCCCGCCGACTTCTGATTGCAAATTCGTCGGATGTGCTGTCGCATGTATTCACACCCTCGCCGTCGCTTTTGGTTGGAGACAATCGTAATTGTCAACTAGCCCCATACAATTCCTATTACGACGGGCTCCGGGAAGACTTGTTGGCAACCGGGTTGGCTGCCGCTATTTTGACTGAGACCCCACCTTCACCCAGCGGCGCAACCGCTTGGCCATTGCAGTGTGCAAGCAACAAATGGAAGCAACCAGTGGAGCTTTCAAAGTTGGAGTTACCGCATGTTGATGAGGATGCCTCCAAGTCTTCCACAGATGATGCCGCTATGCAGACGCCAATCCTATTGCCAGCATCAGACTTTCAAATCCATTTTGTTCCTTTCATCAACGAGAGTCGAGAACAACCGGAGTCCGAAGAAGGAAACGAACATGTGGAAAGTCAATACTGTCGTCTGTTGGCGCAAGCTCTACAACTCAGCCCGTTCCAGCTCCCTACGGAATACGAACGCCAAGCCTTAGTCAAGGCGGATCGTATGCGAACGCTGCAGACTCTGATGAAATCGCTGACGGCAGAACAGCGGGCTCGGCTTGAAGATGAATTGAATCGAGGATTTCGCGATTGGTTGGTGACGAGCGGTAACCTACGACAAGTTTTGGATTTGGTTCACTTGGAGCAGCGTAGCGATGTGTAACAAGCTTCGTTGTGCAAAGTAAAGTAGTCATCAGTGTCAACTCTGAGGCACTTCGTTTAAATACCATGCCTGCACGTCGTCATCTATCACAACATTGTACTTGCTTCTCAGTCCAGCTTCCAAGATTTCTGCCATGCCAGTGTTTTTTACTTGAAACATTTGTTCGTTTCGCATATCAACCAGCTCCTGGATTTTCTTCAATCCGAGTTCGGGCAAGGTCGGCATCCGAGACATGTCCGGAGTATACGGTTGGATCTTGCCCTTCAGTATCCAGGTGGATTCGTGAAAGAGAAGTCCGTATTCTTCCTCCAAACGAACCATCAATCGATCCACGATGTTAGGGTTGCGTTGCTGTTGACTTGAGAGGTATTTGATGAGATTTTCAACCTCCATCGCCTTGTTACGATCAAGCTTCTCCGAAAGGCCGGACTCCTTGTAGATGTCCCACCACCGGGGCACTTCTTTCTCATCGTCCATCTCATCCTCGTGCGAGGCCGTTGCCGAATCTGAATGTGAGGGCATATTTGCGCCACCTATCGATGGACTGCCGACGACTGCCTCGTCCTCGTAGTATTGGGCAAACGATCGCCCGACACTGTACTGTCGTCTACCATCATGAATGTCAACCTCGTATGTGCTCCATAGCTCCCTCACAATGGAGTCTGCTTCGACATAATAACCAATACTTCGCAATTCGTCGCGTTGCATTAAAAGATCCAAAACTCGTACCTCCTCGTACGGTGACAGGGTTCCTGGCAAGGAAACAATGTCGTTGTATCTATACGGCCCTCCCTTCGTCCAGTTATGTTCCGGGTCGAGCGATGCCATGGTTGGCAAATGGCTCGTAGAAGCTGTTCGAATGAGACGCTTAGTCGAAGGCGTGACGGAAGTTGTCGCTTTGTCTACAGGTGTAGACGTCGCAACCTGCCATGTCAGGTCGTAGTCATCAACAATAACTTGATACGTCCGAAAAAGTTCCAATTGATAGGCACAGGCTAGATTCACGTCATTTCGAGCCAAGGCTATGGCGCGCTGTCTGACTAACTGTTTGACACGCACTCTTGTTCGTTCCGGAAGCACCAATGATGTGATCTCCTTATACGGCAGTTCTTGAGTTGGTGGTCGGCTCCACTCTTTTTCAAACAATACCTTGCCATCACTTCGCCACTGCCTCAAACTATCGTTGACTTCAATTCCATAGGTCATCAATTCATATAATTGAGAATCTGCCTCCACGAAGCGTTTTTCGCTCTTCAGCCACAGCCTTCGACACAGTGCATTGTGAATATCGTTCATAGTCAACGGACACGTGTCTGGATCCAGCACTGGAGGTCCCACATGAGTGTACGGATGACAGTTGGGACCATAGACCTTTTCATAACGCTCCTTCAAAACGTTGAGAGGCACCGAGTTTTGTCTAGAGACGACACGAGCAAACATAGGAGCAAAGCCATCGTAGACCTGCACATTGTGTTCTGTCTGGAGCTCTTCCAGAATTCGATCCGCCTCCTTCCAGTGCTGTTCGCGCCTTGCAGTGGCACGTTCTTCTAGCAATTTGAACATTTCCGACTCCTGCTCGAACGGTACTGATCTGTCATCACGTGGATCTTGAATGTATCCGGAGAGTCTGGGTGGGGCTCGTCGCTTTTTGGTTCCAGCTTCGACCTCGGAAGACATCCTCACTAACTTCCATCGACAGAATGAAGCCGTTGGAACTAGAAAGCTCTCCGCAGAAAGAGTGCAGAGAACAAGAAGAGCCACCCCGAGGACTTGCATGCTGACAGCAACGGAGAGCTGAGAGCCGCCGCTACCGGTAGATGACGACGAAAGGTGTGGTTACTGTCAACGATTTTGCGATTTGATGTCAGTCTCGAGTCTCGAGTCTCGAACAACACATACTACGCTAGAGTACTTGTAGTACTCCGAGTAGCTAGTAGTAGTACGCATCACAAGACACAAGTACAGTCCTTTTACGTACCAGATACTTGTACGCATATAACATACTGAGGACGTTGTGGTGTATCTGCGCATATGCATAGGATGGTGCTATGGTGCTTCGTCTCGTACCGTATCTTATTACCGGCACTTGAGTACTGGTATAATATAACACTGAAAACAGGTCCACATTAGCACACAGCAGCACTGGAGTACCAGGTACTGTACTGCAATCATCAGTACTCCGGTACTCCGGTACTCCGTACTCCGTACTCCGAGTACTTAGTACTTGTACTCGAAGTCATTACCGGTAGTCAGCTGTACTGTACCAGGTAAACAGTAGAACCTGGTAGCTACGGTAGTTCCGTTACGGTAAGCTGTAAAATTTTATACTGTACGGAAACATTCAGAAAAACGTGTAGCCACGATTGAGCAGACGCTGCAGAATTTGTCAACTGTCCAGCAGGTTTCGTCATGTCAACCTACCTTCAGAGGGCCCGGCAAATGACGGTTTCAAAA